GTTTTGTGAATGAACATCTCAGGTGGGCAAAATATCTTTTGGACGTTGGCCTGCGACGAAATCCGACCCAAACAGCGGTACAGAGTCCACAAGAGCCCGGAAGCCCTGAAGTCCGCGGTCTTCCAGCACCACTCTGAGTGACTATATGATTTCTCTAACGACTGTTGACCTCCGAACTGGACCATTTCAACAGCAATGTTGTCTGCAGACATGACTCGGCATTTCTATGAAACCCGAGCCAAACAACGGTAAAGAGTTCAGAAGTCGACGGACGCATCCAACCTGCAGCTCCCACAAGGTCCTACTCTTCACGACTCTTCCAAATTTGGAGGTTTTGCCGTTTTGTCACCCAAAATACTGGGAGGGTAGAAGAACATGTTGTGGAGCCTTGGCCTGAGATTTTCTCACTTCAGGCTCATTGAAACCCTCCTGGCGGTCCAGGATGAGCCATCTCCACGCTTCCAAACAAATCGGGTTGCGACGGTTGCGCCCTTCCACAGGTAGGACGAGATTCTCGAGGCGTCTCCCATCTTCTCCCCTCCCAAATCACCCGGCCGGGCAGCTCGATTTGCCTTGCAACGCTCCCAGATTCGCCTCCACGCCTCGGCCACACCGACCGAACGCCCCAGGGACGGCTGACCCGAAACCCCGTGTCCACCCGTGCCTGGCGTGCGGCGTCTGGCGTCCGGCGGAAGTCGGCCAGTGGATTTCCACCAAGATCGATCTCGAGGATGGCGTCGTTCTCCTGCACCGCCTCGGCCAGCGCCTGGAGCGAAAGGAGCCCAGCTGCGCTCTCGATCGGGGCAGGGCGCCTGGCACCCGGGACTGGCCTCGACACCGACCTGGCCGATTTTATTCTCACAGATGTCAATGTGGGTGATGCTGCGGTTCACCTTCAGCGCCTCCGCCAGCGCCTGGCATCTGAATGACATGGAAGGAAAACAAGCAGCTCATCATAAAAGGACCAATAAGGGATCCGTGGCCTGTGCCCCAGCATCTCCGATGTTATTCGATCCAAGGTTGATGTGGGTGATGCTCTTGTTCATCTTCAACGCTTCTGCGAGCACCTGGCAAGTCCACGACATGGCGACGAAGAACGAAGCGCCTCTCCAGCCGCACCTGGACTTGGGCATCCCCGATGTCCTGGCTCTGAAGATTGATCTCCTTCTTGGCCCCGTCGGTCTTCAGCTCTTGCACGAGTTTCTGGCCAAAGTGCCAGCCGATCCAGATAAGGCCATCAAATCTCTCTAAGTAGTGGAGAAGTTCTAACCTCATTCTATAGTGATTGGAGGCATCGTACAAATAGACCATTGGGACAGTGGAAGCAAGGACCTAAAACAAATACAATAGAAGTGCTATATATAAAGTGCTTAACAGCAGCAAGTGTATCGGGGGTCATTTGGCGATGGGGGCCACCAAACAATGCAACAATAACGATCTGAATTGGATCTCCGGTGGGTATGCAATCCACTGTGACCAGTGAATGTCCTGAATCTTGATTGCAGCACATCGTGCTTTGGCTGCCTGCTCAGCAAGAGACGAGGCTTCAAATTTCGCTACAAGTGTTGCTTGCAATCTCCCTTTGACAAACTCTATTTTGTAAGAGGTGACAGTGGCAAAGCCGCATGGTATGCTGCCATTCAATGCTGTTCCTCTGCTCCTTTGGCCTTGCTCTCGGCGTGTCGCGCAATACCATTCATGCACAAATATAAATACAGTGAAGGCAAATACAAAACCAGATCTGCGAGTGCTCAGGCTGTCGTGACTGCACTGCGATCAGCAATTCCACTTATCTCCCGAATGTTCAGATTCAGCCACTAGCCCATTCATTGGCTGTTGCTAAATGTGGCATATTGATGCTTAAATAACATGGTGAAACACACATATTCTAAATTGAGAAACTGTGAGGAGTTGGCGTTGGTAGGAGTTGTGCGCATCAAGGTGAACTAGCAGAAGCAAAAACCATCCAAAGGCACATAACCAAAGGTGCACAAAAAACAAAAGCACAACACTGACACTAACACCAAAAATTGTAATTGCCATGTCCAAAGAACTGTTCTTGGAACACCTTGGAACTCGATCGGATCACCCAACCCCGCTCCGGCGCCTCTCGATTGGCCTTGCAACGCTCCTCGATTCGCCTCATCGCCTAACGCGAACCCGGGACCGAGGTGACCACCCGCGCCGTGTCTACCCGCGCCTGGCGTCCGGGGCCATCGTCATCGCTGGGTTCAGTGGCGGAGATCGGGAACCAGACGTCGATAGGGTTCTGCCATGGATTTCCATCAAGGTCGATCTTGAGGATGGCGTCGTTCTCCTGCACCGCCTCGGCCAGCGCCTGGAGCGAAAGGAGCCCAGCTGCGCTCTCGATCGGGGCAGGGCGCCTGGCACCCGGGACTGGCCTCGACACCGACCTGGCCGATTTGATTGTCACAGAGGTCAATGTGGGTGATGCTGCGGTTCACCTTCAGCGCCTCCGCCAGCGCCTGGCATCTGAATGACATGGAGAGAAAAGGATCAAGAAGGGATTGATTCATAGCCTGCGCCCCAGCATCTTCGATTTGATTCTCCCTAAGGTCAATGTGGGTGATGCTGCGGTTCACCTTCAGCGCCTCCGCCAGCGCCTGGCATCTGAATGACATGGAGC